CACTTAAAAATTTGTTCAGAGATTTCATATTATGTGTTTTTTGCCACAAGTGAGAAGAGAGAAAGAAAGAAATACAAAGTGATACAGCCACTTTGAAAAAATTTGGTAGTTTCTTACAAAGTTAAACTTGTCATACAGTATGATCCAGCAATCACACTCCTGGGCATTACCAATTTCCTTCAATACATGAATGGATAAACAAACTGGCACATCTATTCAATGAAATATTATGTGAGAATAAAAAAGAAATGAGTTATCAAGCCACAAAAAGACACGGAAGAACCCTAAATGCATACTGCTAAGTGAAAGAACCCAGTCTGAAAAGACTGCATACTATCATACAGTAGTATGATCCTAATTATATGACATTCTGGAAAAGGCAAAGTATAAAGACATTAAGAAAACTCACTGATTGTGGGGGTCAGAGGAAGGTAGAAGGATGAATAGATTAAGCATGAGGGATTTTTAGGGTGTTGAACTATTCTGGAAAGTGGATTCATGACATTAGGCATTTCCCAAAACACAGAACTATTCAACACAGAGTGAAAATTAATATATGCAAATTTAAAAATCATTTAGGAAGTCAGGCAATCCCAGCAAGGAATACAGACTACGTTAAAAATCTAACTTAATTACAAATGTATAAAACCATCTCACTGAAGGGGGGGGAGGGGAGGTACTGACCCAAGTAAACCTGGAAATGAGTGAAGTCTGTAAGACTAAAGGCAAGAGAACTGTACATAATCCCTTCCAAGAAAATAAAATTGTTTCCCATGGATTAACAATTCAGATACATGCTATAACAATTCAGATACTGCCATAAACAATTCACACATATATGGATAGTAGATGGTGGGAGTCAGGTTTCTTACTGCTGGACTGTAAATTTACAGATAAGGGTAGCAGGTGAGGATGATCCACATGGTAATGGATTAGAGTTGAAGACATCAAGATGAACTCATGTGTAGCTTAATATAGATACAGCTAATTACATAAAGAGATATTTATAGATATGTATATATACACAGCTTAGTTTACATACATATATTTCTTTGTTCTGTCAATAAAATAAGCCAGGGCTCCTTGGAGAAATGGCTGATTCTAGAACCAGGCAGGAAATAGACAAAATGAGCCCAGAGCATCTTGTATTGCCAGAAAGTTAAGGAAATATAAAAATAGATAAATACCTACCTTCAGTGATAGAGCTATGTCAATGGGAAAATGGAGCCAACTGAAAATGCTCCTAGTGGCCAAACCTGGAGCAACCTGAATAAGCAGTACTGGCTTATAACCAAAAGGATAAAATATCCATGAGTCCATATTATATAAATAAATGATTAAATAAATTAATAAATAGAAGAGACAAATCTGTGCTTATATAGGTACTCTGTCTGACCTCAGGAAGGGGGAGTACAACTTCCAATTCCTCAAATATGGGCCACACACAGTGACTTCCCTTCCAAAGAGTACAATACAGATAAAGGAGAAATAAAGAGTAACTTTACAGTGAGAAACCAGGCAAACTATTTCAGCCAAGTGAGCAAGGTCAATGTCAAATCATAAATCCTGCTAACAATATGTACCCTCAATATGATGTGATGGAAATGGCACTTTACCCCTGTGATTTTCGTTCCCCAAACCCGTAATCCCAGCCTAAGCATGAGAAAAACATTAAATTCCAATAGAGGGCCATCCTACAAAATACCTCACTCATACTCCTCAAAACTGTAAAGGTCAACAAAAAGAAAGTATGGGAAATTATCACAGCAAGAGAAGCTTAAGGACACATGACAACTAAATAATACGAAATCTCGGAACAGAAAAAAAGAACATTAGGTAAAAACTTAGGAAACGTGAATAAACTATGGAATTTAGTTAGTAACAACGTATTGACATTCATTAATTCTAACAAATGTACCATACTTACATGTTAATAATAAGGGAATCTGGATGTGGGGTATATGGGATCTTTCTGGATTACCTGTTCAACTCTTACGTAAATCTAAAATTATTCTAAAAAAAAAAAAAGTCCATTTATAGAAGAAAAAGAAAGCCGCAGATTGGGAGAAAATTTGCGAGGCATATATGTGATAAAGACTCGTAACCAGGCTATCAAGAACTCCCAAAACTCAACAGTAAGAAAACAACCCAATTTAGAAATGGGCAATGGATCTGAAAAGACACTTCACCAAAGAAGATCTACAGATGTCAAATTGCACATGAGAAGACAATGAACACCGTCGGTCATTAGGGAAATAAATATAATTAAAACCACAACGAGATACCACTACACACTTATTACAACAGCTGAAATTAAGAAGACTGACCAAAGCACGTGTTAGCAAACAGGTGAAGGTGGAACTCTCAGACTGCAGGATGGAATGCAAAATGGTAAAATCACTTTGGAAACATTTCACTCCTCAAAGTATTCAAAGGAAGCACACATCCATACAAAGGTTTACGCAAGAATGTTCACAGGATTCTGTGTTACATAATAGCCATAAAAATTTTCAACAACCAAAAATATCCTTTAACAGGTGGATACACAAATTATGGTAAAACTCTACAACTGAATACTTCTCAAAAAGAGAAAGGAATGACTATTGCTATATGCAATAACACAGATGAACTCAATACTGAAAGAAGCTGGATCAAAAGAAAAGGTACATACCATATGATTCCACTAATATTAAATTCTTGAAAAGTGTGAACAAGTCTACGAGTGGGAGGGAGCAGATCAGGGGTTGGGGGGAGGGCACAGGAGCAGGGATTACAAAGAAATAGGAGGAAACTTTTAGGAGTGATTGCCATGTTCACAATCCTGAGAGAGGTGATGCTTTCTTGGGTGTATAGATGTCAAAACTTACCAGATCATACACTTTAAATATGTGAGGTTTTCAGTGTATCGGTGAGATTTCAATAAAGTGGTTAAATATTCTAATGGAGTGATAAATAAGGTGGTGAGAGGAAGAATAAGTACAGCAAGATTTTCTGTTCATCAAAGGAAGAAAATGGAGGGTTGAAATTCCAAAGGACCTTAAATCAGTATAGATCTTCTTCAACATGATGGGTTTACATCCCAATAAACCCATCATAAACTGAAAATACTGTAAGTCAAAAATGCATTTAATATGCCTCACCTATTGAACATCATAGCTTAGCCTACTCTACCTTAATTGCTCAAAACACTTATACTAGCCTACAGTTGGGCAAAATCATCTAACACAAAGCCTATTTTTTTTAATTTTTTATTGTTATGTTAATCACCATACATCATTAGTTCTTGATGTAGTGTTCCATGATTCATTGTTTGTGCATAACACCCAGTGCTCCACGCAGAGCGTGCCCCCCCCAACACCCATCACCAGGCT